TGTAACCCCACTATTTAATAAGAGGCAGAGTGAAGTGGAGGAATTATAGGCTGGTTCGTCCAAAATCAGTAGTAGGGAAATATTAGAGTCCATTATAAAATACTTAATAGCAGAATACTAGGAAAACAGTAATGGGTTTGGACAGAGTCAGCAAGGATTTATGAAAGGGAAATAATGATTGAAAAATTGTACTGGAAGTTTTCGAGGAAGCAACTACAAGAATTGTTAAGAGGGAGCCAGGAAATGTGGTTTACTTGAACTTTCAGAAAGCTTCGATAAGGTCTCACTCAAGAAATTGGCATGTAAAATTAAAGGGCATAGGATTGTGGGTAGTGCACTGACATAAATAGAGAACTGTTTGGCAGACAGGGAATAAATGGGTCTTTTTCTGAGTGGCAGCCAGTGGACTAGTTAGTAACACAGCTTCTATTGTTTGCCTGGCTTTGTTCCCATGTAGAGCTTTACCTGTTGTCTTGTAGGATTACCTGCATACTGGTTTAAAAAGTTCTTTTGGATGCATCTTAAGAATTCTGTCCTCTCTAAGCCATTCCTACCTTGTCTATCCCAGTTAATATTGTGGTAAGTGAAATCCCACACTATGATTGCCATGTTACTTTTACACCTTTCTGAGATTTGCTGACATTTCCATCATTCAATCTCTGCCTGATCATTTGGGGGTTAACAGTACTCTCCGAGCAATGAGATTACCACCTTTCTGCTTTTAAGTCCTACCCATATGGCCCTATTTGAGTAACCTTCAAAGATTAGATAAATGCAAGTTGTTGCATTTCAGTAAGGCAATCCAGGACAGGATTTACATAGTCAATAGTAGAGCCCTGGGGATGTTATAGAACAAAGAGATCTAGGGGTACAGGTTCATTGCTCCTTGAAAATGGAGTCACAGGTAGACAGGGTAGTGAAGAAGGCTTTCAGCATGCTTGCTTTCATCGGTCAGAGCATTGAGTATAGGGGTTGGGACATCTTGTTGCACCTGTACAAGACGTTGGTGAGGCCACACTGGGAGTACTGTGTGCAGTTCTGGTCACCTTACTGTAGGGGGGGGATGTTATTGAACTGGAGGGAGTGCTGGGGGGATTTGCTGAGATGCTAACTGGACTGGAAGGAGTTGTGGGGAGAGGTTGGATGGCCTAGGACTTTCTTCCCCTGGAGTGGGGGAGACTTGGGGCGGTGGAGGGGAGGTTGGGGGGGGTGGGGGTTGACCTTTATAGAGGACTGTGGGATCATGAAAGTTATGGATAGGGTGGATGGCCGACAGCTTTTCCCCATGGTGGGCGGGTCTAGGAGTGGAGGGCATGGGTTTGAGTCGGGAGGGGAGAGGTATGGAGGGGTCCGGGGAGGGGGGGTATGGGCGGTTTTTTCACGCGGAGGGTGATGAGTGTCTGGGACTGGCTGCTGGAGGTCATGGTGAAGGTGGGTACAATTTCATCATTTAAGAAACATTTAAATGGATACATGGATGGGACAGGTATGGAGGGATATATACCAAAATCAGGCAAATATGACTAGTTTAAATAGTGAAAACTGGGCAGCATGGGCAAGTTGGGCTGAAGGGCCTGTTTTCATGCTGTAGACCTCTATGACTCTATGATATCATGCCTCTTTATTGCAGTACTTGCCTCCTCGATCAAGATTGTGACACCCCCTGCTCTTTATCAAGACCACCGTTACCAGCTTGTTTACAGGAGGCACAGGGTGACTGGTTTACACTTACAAAAGGTTTCTGACTTATTATTTAAAAGTCAGCTAACAGCTCTGATGAGGGGAAATAAAATGGCTATCTTCAGATTAAGATGCTTTGTACTGCGGAGCAAAAGCAGGTCCTTCTCTTCCAGAGGTCTGATAGCTTCTGATCCTAACATTCACTCCCAGAAGATCACCTGGGAGCCAGTTGCAGTTTTTGGCAGATATCAATAGCTGATCATCGTACCACAGATCATTCAGTGTTTGTTGCCAAATCTCCATCCATACACAGACCTATGGCTTCAGCTTGTCGACCCAACAGCTGTGTAAACAGCACTTACAATGAGTACCAGATAATGTGCTATTTGTTGATGGCCAAATCTCCATTTGTATACAGCTCCCTGGTTCTACAATGAACAGCACCTACAATGAACATCAGTTAGCTTTCTTCTAAAATGTACAGAAATCCTTGTTTTTGAATCAGTCATTTTTCCATTTCAGTCCACAATTTTTAAAAAAAGAAAAATAAGAAGATACAATCTTTACATCCTGTATTCACTCACACATGCCATTTGAGAGCAATCCAGAGTTTAGACCCTTTTGAGGTACCTCTTTTTTTCAATCTGTTACCTAACTCCCTAAACTCTTGCTGTCAGACCTCATTCTTCTTTCTACTTATGTCATTGGTTCCTGTGTGAATTACGATCTCTGGCTCTTCATTCTTCCCCTTCAGAATGTATTGCAGCTGTTCAGTGAGTCCTTGGCCCCTGCCCCAAGGGAGGCAACAAATCATCCTGAAGTCACATCTGCAAGCTACAGAAATGACTATCAGTACCCTCACTATTGAGTCTCCTGCCACTAGTTGACTTCCTCTCTTTCTCTTCCTTGTTTATACACTTGCCAGAGGAACCGCCACTTTAACTATTCTCCACGACAGAAAAGCTGTTCTTGAGTGAGATGCACTTGTAGGCTTTCCCTCCCATCTTCTGACTGGCGGTCACCCAGTCCTTATCTAAATGCATTGCCTTAAGCTGAACAGTGACAACATCTAAAAACGTGCTATCTACATAACTGTCAGCCTTACAGATGCACAGCAGTTCCAGTAGCTGATATTCAGGCTCTTTATCCTTGTGTTCAAGCTGGTCAAACCAGTGGCACTTCCTGCTTATGTTGTCATCCATACTGCCAGAGACGCAAGACTTCCCACATACTGCAGACAATGCAGCACATGCGATTGAGCTTCCCTGCCATAAACTAAATAAAAAATTAAGTTTTCAGCTTTAAAGTTTAGATTAACAACTTATTCACTACCTCCTAATTAGCTCTCTGCTTTGAACTGATGTCATTTTTGTCAGTCTTTTAGAAATTTGGCATTGTTCCTGTTGAGGTTAGTTGGTGCTGCAACTGGTTCGATCTGGGCCTCGATCTTCCGGTTTTCAGTGAGAAGCTTCATAGCCACTGTTCATCCTCAGTCACTCCTCTGCTGCTGTTTCTCCAACTGGCTTAACCTGGGCCTTAATCATTCGGATTTCACTGAGCTCTGCTACCACTGTTCGCCCCCAGGTTTGCTCTGCTCCCACTGTTGCTCCAACTTGAAAACTTTGATTGAACTGTCCTTCAACTTTCAAATTGTAGGAAATTCAACTTAACATTATTGAATCTCTTATTTAACTAAAGAGTCCATATCCTGTTCTGTAAAATGTACGTTGCATTTCCTTCAAGGCCAATCAATATCTTCTTCCTAAGGCATGGTGCCTAGAACTGCTTAGAATATTCTAGTTGTGGTCCTTTGTATTGCTCTATCATTGCATCTATCCCTCTTGCATTTTTTTCTCCAGATCCGAAGGTCTTTAGTCATTTCATTATTTTCTGTGCCTGTACATCCCATTTTAATCATGTCAGTGCAGAGACACTCAAGTCTCTTCATACTTCAGTTTTTTTCTGGTGTTTCACCATTTAGAAATTATTTTGTCTTTGTTTTTACAAACACTGAAAGCAATGCATTTTATAAAATAATGAGCAAATAAAATTCAGCAAATTGAACAACAAATCACCCACCCAAGGGGTCTTCGATCATTCAGGGTGAACTAGTGGCAATTGGGAGGTAACTTCAGGGCATTGCTGTGTGCCAGGTGATGGTGCGCTTGAGGACTGGGCAATTTCTGTGGTGTGGATGATGGTGCTGCCTTGGTCAGTCACTGAGGGCATCCTGCCTCGAGTCTCACTGGTACTGAGCACTGAGAGAGGTGAAGCAAGGCCAAATCTTTACTCCAGCCATTGCAGACTGTACTTTATCCTTAATGGTGAGGAGACTGTCTTTGAGGAACTCTGCAAGACAGGCCCCACTTCAGAAAGCATCACGGTGCTGGTGGAGCTGGTGGCTCCCACCATCGGGTTAGCTGCAATCAAGGATGTCCTTGACACCACTGGACAGCAGGTTTCGAGTGGACTTACTATAGACTCAGTGAGGGCAGACATCATGTAAAGAATTTTTGTTGGACTTATAGTGACTGCAACTACAGATTAGGACTGGAACGCTGGTATCTTTTCCACTGAAGCAAGTTCAACATGGAAGTGACCTTTGCTGATGTACCTTGGTGCACTGGTTTGTTTGATTTGTACTGGTGCCTTGGGAGCTCGGGACCAATAACAGACAGTCATAATACCTCTGACCTTGTGTCACCTGCGCTTTACTGTCTTGATCCACATTTTAAAATGCTTTTAAGGTATCAGCTGGTTCCATGTTCACGTCCCACTCCAGGATGTGAACACCAAAATGAAAGCTGATACTCCAGTGCTGCAAGACTGAAGTACTTCTGAACTGTTGCAGGTGCTATCTACCGAATGAGATGTTAAACCAAAGCGACATATGGTTTGTTGGATGAATGGAAAAGATTCCATGGCACTACTTTTAAGAACAGCAAAGAAATTATTCAAGTTGTCATTTCTGAGATCTATTCTGCAATCAACATTTTTAAAAAGCCATTTAGTCATGACTGTATTTTTGTTTGTAAAAGCCTGCTTTGTGCACATATTGGCTATTGCATTTCCTATAACAGTGACTACACTTTGAAAGTACTTCATTGACTGTAAATTGATTTGAGAATCAGCTGGTCATAAAAAACCATTATTTAGAGATAAATCTTTTTGTCTAAGACACAAAATGCACTACAAGTGTTTAGAACAATTATTAACAAGTAGGTAGAACAGTTTGGCGTGTCCATACTTTCTGATGCAGTTGTAAAGCTATTTGTTTTTACTGATTGCAATTTAATTACGTTTATAACTTGCCTTCATCACCCAGAGGCATATTTCGACTTCTGGCCTTCCTGCATTGTCCTCTTGAGCAGTTGACGTGACCATTCCCGTTTCTGACATATCACCTATCAAAAATTAAGTATCAACTTTTCTCATTTTTACAAATGTAATTATCATTATCTGGATTGTTGTAAGCATGAAGAAAGCTTTACATTCTCATTTTCTCTCTGTCTCTTCCTCTCTCCTCCCTCACCCTCGCTTCCCCAATTTTTCTAGTATCTGCATAGCAACTGTCATCACTTCAGGTAATTCTGCCACCAAGTAAATTTTCACATCACTTGGTATATTACATTCTGTTTTTGTTAACACTTGTACTTACATGACAGCTGCTATGATCCTTTAAATCTGAAAAAGATAACAAATGTTGACTCTTAGGCAAGTTCACCAGTTTCTGTAATGAGAGCTTTACATTTCAGTAAACAGAAACTTAAACCCACTGTGGTTCTAGAATTTTGTCATATTTTATCTGATTAGGTAAAAATTTAATCTTTGAAAAATAACTTTAGGGGCTTGTTCTGGGCCACTAATTTACAGAGAAATAAGCTGCAGTTTTAGTCCTGATTAAATTGCATGTTTTTTGCTTCTGTAATCAAATTCAATCAAGAATTAAAATCTGTGCAGGGAATTGCCAATTGTAGCAAGGAAGTATCATTCTGTAGCATTAGTCATTGTGACTTTACACAGCATCACATTTCCATCTGCTTATTATGCTAGTTACATAGTCTTTGAATAGTGGAGTACCCATTAATACTAGCGATCCTTCCTTTGAATTGCTTACAGTACATTACCTCAAATGTGAGGTACATACTTGAATGTAACTTTGAGTCATACAAGTGGCCTGCTGACAATTGATGATGAAAAAGTAAAATGCTGTGCACTTTGCAAGTGGAAACATAATTAAAATTTTTTTTTTTTTCTGAAGTTTAGTAAGAACCAATGCATTGAACAGAACATTCATAGGAAATTAACTCTTGAATCAAAATATTGTAGGACAGTAGATAGGGTAGAAGGTCATTCAAGCTGCAAATTCATGTGCTGCTGAACCATTAAAATTTATTTTCAAAGAATATTTGAAATAATTAGAAGAATTAAATAGAGTAGGATTCTCCAGAAAATAATCAGCAAAACAAAATTGCACAGGTAGCAGTATTGTGGCAACCAGAGAGAAAGCAAATGCTTAAGAATGGTGAACCTAAATAATGGAACAAGTCAGGTTTCAGGTTCTTCAGTCTGTTAATTTCAACTCTTGTGACAAAGTACCTTGTGTTCCTTGTCTCTCTCTCTTTATTGTTTCCTTATTGGTTCTGGCTTCTTTTTTAACCTATTCATAAGATGTGGAATCACTGGCTAGGCCAGCCCATCAAATGCAGGCAAATGGGACTAGATCAGTTTTGGAAACCTGATCAGCATGGATGAGTTGGACTGAAGGGTCTGTTACCGTACTGAATGACTAACTACCCTGGACGAGCTGGTGGTGATCTGAACTCTTGAACGTTTGCATTTGGTAAAAACATTAGTGCTGGTTAGAAAGGGAGCTCCAGGGGTCATTAAACAAGAAAAACCCCGCAGATCCTGAAAATCTGAAGCAAAACAAATAGCTGGAGAAATGTGGCAGGTCTGGCAGCATCTGTGCGGAGAAAGCAGAGCCAACATTTTGGGTCTAGGGACTCTTCTTCAGAAGACTGCTGAGTTTCTCTAGCTATTTCTGTTTTAGCTGCAAGGTCATGATCCAGTAACAGTGAAGCATCAACAACAACACAGCTTTAGATGAAGATGGTTTGTGAAGACAGGAGGTGGTGTACCACTCATGTATCTATTATCCTTACCCTTGGTGATGGAAGCTGCTAGTTTGGAATCAGTTGTGGTGAATTACTGGAGTTCACTTGTAGATGATGCACACTGGTGCCAATGATAAAGACAGTAAGTATTGCTGAGGGTATGGCTGCCAATTAAGCAGGCTGTTTTGTCCTGTATGTTCTCGATTAATTGAGTGTTGTTGGTGCTAAAGCTAAACAGGTATTTCTCCTATAACAAGATAGCTGCATTCTTGTTTGACCTCACTCTATAGAAAATTGCCATACCTGTACAGCAGAAAGTTCGCGTTACCCAAACAGCGTCCACTATTCATCAATCACATTTCAGTCAATTTGTGTTAATGAAACATGCGTTATAGCAGAAATACTTGTACAGGCATATGGACAGTATTTCATCATTTTCATAACTTATGCCTTGTAGATGGTAAACAGACACTGGGGAGACGGGAGGTGAGTTACGTGCTTCGGGATTTTGAGCCCCTGACCTGCTCTTGTAGCCAGTGTTTATGCTGGTACAGTTTCATTTTCATCAATGGTAATCCCAAGATGTTGGTAATAGGGAATTCAGTAACAGTAATGTCGTTGAATATCGCAGGACAGTGGTTGGATTCTGTCTTGTTGGAGGTAGTCATTGCCTGGCGCTTGTGTGAATGTTTACTCACCAGCTGTCATGACCATCTTGGTTTGACTGCATATGGACATGGAATTCATGTGAATTCCAGTGGATTATCTTCATAATGCATGTGGTAGATTTTTTTTATTCATTCATGGGATGAGGACATCACTGGCAATGCCAGCATTTATTGCCCATCGCAGAGAGCAGTTAAGAGTCAACCACATTGCTGTGGGTCTGGAGTCACATGTAGACCAGACCAGGTAAGGGTGGCAGATTTCTTTCCTGAAGGACATTAGTGAACCAGGTGAGTTTTTCCAACAATTGACAATGGATTAATGGTCATCATTAGCCTCTTAATTCCAGATTTTTAAAATTGATTTCAAATTCTATCATCTGCCATGGCAAGATTTGAACTCAGGTCCCCAGAACATTACCTGGGTCTCTGGATTGATAGTCCAGCAATAATACCATGAGGCTATTGTCTTTCCTGCAAACACAGAATTGTCCAGTACTTTGAGGTGGGATCCAGGTATCATAAAACTATGAAAAGTGAAATTGGAATGATATGTGACTACTGTTTTGATAAAATTGATGTTTCTGAACTGTATTAATAGGAAGGAAGAAATTGATATGCTAATCCTTTTTGGGAAGTCCAGTCTAAGTCTTGTACTGAAGTATATACCTGTTTACTAATTTGTCAGAATTAGGAAGCCAGTGCTTTATTCATTGTATTTCTGGAGAGCAGAGCAACCAAAGGGATACTGTTATGATTGAAACTCTCAATGCTGTTAACAACCGAGTGACATGAAATAAATAATTTTGAAGATATGAAAAATTAATATAATGTGCCATGACATGTTGAAAATGTGCATGCCTGTTCAAATTATATTTGTTTCTTCCCATTTTAACTTGTCACTTTTTTTGTACAACTGATTGCCATAATGTTAATTGTTAAAATTGGTTTGATCTGGTGTTCATCTGGTGCCGTCAACAAACATTTTAAGCGAATAGCTGATCTTAAAGTAATGTGTAGTCCCTCATTTCCAAATCTAATATCTCAAAGTTCCAAGTTGGAAATTAATTTGCCAATTATATGTCCACTCTACAAGTCTACTTATATCTTATTGCAGTTTGTTGAGGTCCATCTCAATATTGATTCTTCCCTTGCCGAAATCTCTGTTTAGGAGAAAGTAAGTGGTATAGTTAGTTTTGTGATGAATTTAGAGATATGTAAGTCTCACCCATTAAACAACCTATAACATTAATTTACATTTATATTTTAAATAAGAAAATGTCCCAAGACCCTTAACAGGCACATTATTAAAAAAAACAGTAATCCAAATATGAAGCAGTTAGGTCAAATGGCCAAAACCTTGGTCAGAAAGGGAGATTACAAAGAGTGTTCGAAATGAAAAACCAAGTTATAGAGATGGAGAGATATAGAGAGAAAATTCCACAGCTGCAGGCATAACATTACTCCAGCTTTGCTAGCCACGCCTTATTAAATTTGGGGATGCTGAGAAGGCCAGAAATAGTGAGTGCAGAAATCCCAAGGAGTTTAGGGCTGAATTAAAGGATAAAGGGAGGGGACAAGGCCATAGACAAATCTGAAAACCAGGATGAGAATTTTGAATGTGGGAATTGCTTGATGTTTGTGTGGCGCAAGTGTTAGTTAGCATTTGTCATTTTCAAACCAGGATATCGTCCAGATCTAGTGGCAGCTGGACACAAACTGCTTTGATATTTGTGGAGTTGGAAATGGTGCCGAATATTGTGCAATCATCAGCGAACATCTCCACTTCTGACCTTACAATGGAGGGAAGGTCAATGATGAAGCAGCTTAAGTGGTTAGTGCTAACGACCCGGGTTTGATTCCAGCCTCGGGCGACTGTCCGAGTGGAGTTCGCACATTCTCCCTATATCTGCATGAGTTTCCTCCGGGTGCTCCGGTTTTCTCCCACAGTCCAAAGATGTGCAGCGTAGGTGGATTGGCCATGCTGGATTGCCCATGGTGCCCAGGGATGTTTAGGTTAGGTGGGTTAGACATGGGAAATCAGGGTCTGGGTAGGATGCTCTTTGGAGGGGCAGTGTGGACTTGTTGGGCAAAATGGCCTGTTTCCACGACATTAAGGTTGTTGGGCTTGGGACACTACCCTGAGAAACTCCTGCAAAGAAGTCCTGGAGCCAAGATGACTGACTTCCATCAACCACAATCACCTTCCTTTGTGCCATCGATGACTCCCACCAGCAGAGAGTTTTCCCTTGACTCCAATTTTGCTAAGACTCTTTGATGCCACACTCAGTCAGATGAGAACTTAATATCAGCAGCAGTCACACTCGTCTCATCTTGGGGTAACAAATGCACGTGTAAGGGTTTCAGTAGCAGATGAGCTAAGATGAAGGTGGAAGATTTTATGGAATTGGAGTTAGGGCATCTGAATGGTCACATAAATATGTGGTCAGAAACTCATCTTGGGTGTCAACCATGACACCAAGGCGGAGGACAGCTGCCAGAGAGAAGAATGTAGTTGATAGCTGGGGAACGGAATTTGAAGTGGCGATCAAAAATATTGGGTGAAATGTTCTTCAGCCTGGTGGTACAATCCATTTTTCAGCCATATCTTCCACCAGCAGAAACAGAAGTGGATCAATGCAGTCTGCGCAGGGGAGGGCCAGCAAGAATAGGAAAGTTAGGAGAAGGAGAGGACTTGCCTCAGTTTTACAACAATAGTTGCTATATTTGGGCAACTTTTTTATAGGTCTCAATTTTTTTTATTGATTGAGTGTTAGTTTAGTCAATAGGTGAGTCAGATGGAGGTGGTAAGTGAGTGGGTAGTCAAATCGGGGGCACTTAGATAGTCTTTGGGTCATATGGTCTTGTTGAAATCGGTCCAGGATGTCAGGTGGGGGCTGGTCGGGAGGATTGTTGAAAATAGGTGATAGATGGGATAGTCATGATTAGCTGTAGTCAAGTCTGGGCTGGTTGGTAGAGCACTCTGGTTTCATCAGGTTGGGAAAGTATAGTTGATGGTGATGTGGAGTTACTTGTGCTGCGCTGTTGAGTAATGTGTGCTAGCCACTGAATTAGACCTAGTATTAAACTATATAACATTTCAAAAGTATGTAGGCAAGCAAGCTCTGTGTGTGGCCAAGTCTCCATCCTGTGCTCAGGATCAGAGACATCAGAAGCATAAATTAACCCATCAGAAGTCTGAACTCACCAGGCACTTGGCTGTAAGTCAGGAATTCAACAGGGCCCTGATGCAGATCTCCCAACATTTGCCTGATCTTCGGTCTAGACACAGGAAAACTTTAGGAAAAAAATCTTATTGTGCTTTTGGATGATGTTGCTGAAGGATATCATGTAGTTGCGAAATAGGAGGGACTCGTGGTGAAAGGTGGTTTGACATTTGCTTCATATAAATCACTTGTTGGTAACTGTTCTGAAGGTGGATAACAGAGTTGAAATAAAGGGAATGTGCTCTGATTGGTAGAATGCAACAAGTGGTGTACCCCGGGGATATGTATTTGGACTGTCAATCTTTCACCGTTTATATCATCACTTGGATAAAAGAATAAAGTTATATATCCAAGTTTGCATACAATATGTTGTTGTGTAAAGTACAACATCTGACTGAGAGGAAGAAGTTAAGGAAGGAAGTAAACTAAGTGAATGGGGAAAAGCTGTGATACATAAATTCAATGTGGGAAATGTGAGACCATTTGCTTTTTCACATGATAGGTAGTTAATTGAAAGGGATTAATTAGGGAGCTTGAGGAGTTATTAGACATTTAAAAAAAAATTCTTTCATGTGACCATGTATGTCGCTGGCAAGGCCCATCCCTAATTGCTTTTAAACTGCAGTTTCAATTCTGTTGGTCACATGTCTGGATCCACATGTTGGCTAGACCAATAAGGACAGCAGATTATCTTCCTGGTGAAAGGATAGTTTTATATTCCAGATTTGTTAATCAAATTTAAATTCCACTATTTGCCATGGTGGGATTTGGACCCAGGTCTCCAGAGGGCTTCTGGTTACTAGTCCAGTGACATTATCACTTTGCCACCATTACCTTTTACGTTCTGTATTTATATGCCTGCATCTCATTTTGTGAAGAAAGTAGATCAAGTATTGAACTGTGCACACACTTTTCCATAGTTTCTTATGGTCCTGAGCAGAGTAGTTGTTGTACCAGGCAGTTATGCACCAGCTAGAATGCTTTCTATGGTGCATCTATAAAAGTTGGTGAGAGTTCTTTATTGACACCCCGAATTTTCTAAGCTGCCTGAGGGAGAAGAGACATTGTTTAAACTGAGAGAATTCTATCTTCAAGTAATTGCTGTGTGCAGTAATGGTTCTCTGTCATGATTTCTCTTGATAGTGGCCATCAAATCTGAACTCTAGATCATTGAGAAATGCGTATGCTTCGCAAAGTGATTACTAACATTAAACTCAAGAAAATGTCTTGCATAATTTGGAAAGTGATAATTGAGGACCTGACACAAAAATCGTAATAGGTGCAATGATAACAATCTCTCTCTCGATGTCAGAAAAACAAAAGAACTGATCGTTGACTTCAGGAAAAAGGAGGAGGACACATGTCTATCCACATCAAAGGAACTGAGGTGGAGAGGGTCAAGAGCATCAAGTTCCTAGGAATGACAATAACCAACAATCTGTCTTGGACCTCACACGTAGATACGACGGTCAAGAAGGCTCAACTACATCCCTCCCTCAGGCATGCCCATAAGGACATTCACTAACTGTTACAGATGCACCATAGAAAGTATTCCATCTATCTGGCTGCAAAACAGCCTGGTACGGCAACTGATCTGCCCAGGACCATGAGAAATTACAGAAAGTTGTGTGCACTGCCCAGACCATCACGGAAGCCAACCTCCCATCCATTGACTCCATTTATACTTCTCATTGCCGCAGAAAGGCTGCCAACATCATCAAAGACCCCTCCCAGCCCGGTAATGCTCTCTTCCAACCTCTTCTGTCAGGCAGAAGATACAGAAGCGTGAATACATGCACCAACAGGTTCAAAAACCGCTTCTGCCCTGCTGTTATTCGACTGCTGAATGGATCTCTCTAACTTGAAATAATATTGATCTTGCATTGTGCACCTCCTGTGCAGCTGTAACCTTTGTATGCCTTGCTCTGCCTCAGCACCCTATCATCTGTATGTCCTTGTTTGCTGTGACCTCCCTGTACTGCTCACAGAACAAAGTTTTTCACTGTACTAAGGTACATGTGATTACAATAAATCAAGCCAGATTATACTAAGACTGGTTTTGTATCTAAGGTTTTGGAGTAGATTTGTAGCTCGGGTTGTGGGTGTTGAGGTTTGGCTCGCCGAGGTGGTTTCTTGTTCTGCAGACGTTTCGTTACCATGCAGCCTCTGATGAAGCGTCGGTGTGTTTTCCCACCTGGTTTTTAAACTCTGGAGTCCATTGAGCTGGATTGCCTCACTTCTGGTTTTCCTTCGTTGTGGAATGTATATGGGGTCGAGTTCAATGTGTTTATTACCAGCATGCTTCGTGGAATGCCATGCTTCTCGGAATTCTCGTGCTTGTCTCTGCCTAGCCTGTCCCAGGATCTTGGTGTTGTCCCAGTCAAAGTGATGGTTCTCCTTTATCCACGTGGATTGAGATGAGTGAGTATTGGTCGTGTCTTTTTGTAGCCAGTTGGTGTTCATGTACTCTGGTTAGTTTCCTTCCTGTTTGTCCGATGTAGTGTTTCTCGCAGTCTCTGCAGGGGATCTTGTACATGACATTGGTCCTGTCCATGGCGGAGAGTGGGTCTTTAGTTCGGGTGAGCAGTTGTCGTAGGGTTGACTTGGGCTTGAGTGCCACTCTGATGCCTAGCGGTCGTAGGAGTCTTGTGGTGAGTTCTGACGTGTTCCTGATATCCTTGAAAACTTGGAAGAGGTATTCTTCTTCCTCTTGGTGTAGTTCCGTGTTGCTGCAGTGTGTTGTTGCCCTTTTAAATAGTGTTCGCACATCTGCGAAACAAGAAACCAGCTCGGCGAGCCAACCAACCTCAACTGGTTTTGTATTTGGCAGTTTGATTGAATTTTGCTTCTGCACTTAGCTTCAAAAGTTAAGGTTAAAGTAGTTTTTAAAAATACTGTTCAGAAATTGAAGGGGAATCATTGTTTATATTCAAGATTTCAAATTGCTTTGGAAATTATTTTTCTGTTGACTATTTATTTTATAAACCATTTTGAAACATTTTGTATACATTTAAATCTGTAGAAATACATTTTCAGACATGCGTATTAATTTTAAGTTGTGTGGAATAACAGATTTTTGAGAATTTAAAGTTTAGAAATGCATTTTTGTTTGTCCATGAGAATATTTGCTGTGAATTTGGACACACACTCTTTGCCCAAACCCACAATAATTAAAAATTCAACCCATAGAAAGTTGTTTCAAAACCTGAGTCCTACATTAATCAAATGTTTGCAATTCTGTTAAAAGTCCAGTTAAACTGGTGGAAGTCATTGAATCGCAAACAGGAATATTCATTATGCCAGTCTCACCAAGGTCTTATGTAATTGTAGGAAGTTTTATTCATTGCTGTATTCCAACTGTCTTGCAATTTAAGTCAATAAATGTCATTTGCCTTCCTAATTGCTTGCATTCCTTGTATGATCACACCCAAGTGGCACTCATGCATGGATCATGGTCCATAAGTAGTGGTATGAAGGCAAGTGTCCTTCATGCTGCAATCATTTCACTTCAGCTACTGTACTTCCCAGTGCCTGAGAAGTGAAACTATAATTTGTAAACTGGATTATTTGTAGTGTGCTAGGTTCATTAACATATTTAAATTGCCAGTCTCTGACAGCAGGTTGGCTGCATTTTAGGAACCTGGAAATGGGAGCTTTTGATGGGATTTCTAGTTGGCATTCAGAATTTACAAATTTGTATGTTCTAGCCTCTTTCCATTTATGTGCTAAATCTCCTCCCTAGATCTTTGCCAATTGCGCTGAGCAACAGGAAATCTAAAATATACCAATTTCAATAGTCTTTCAGTTTAGAAATTGCAAAAGGCTTGTATCACTTGAGGGATGATTTTGTGAAATCCCACAAGATTGTTTACTCTGTTAAACTGGTCCAAGAGAAGTTGCCACGCAGATGTTTAATGTGCTTAGCTGATGATATCTGCATTAATTACTGGCTTGGATCCTGTTTTATTAGCAACATGATGTGACTCTGCCAGTAAATATTCTACTATTTTTCATGAATTTGGTAAATTCAGTAAATCCAGAAATTAACACTAAACTGCACTGGCAATGAGAAGACTCATATATAACCACAAAAGAATACTGGTTACTGGAATTCTGAAATTAAAACTAAATGTTTGACGGTACTTGACAAGTCCACTTGTCTCCTGTGAGACAAGAAAGAAGTAACTTTTCATCAGAGCAGTTTATCTTTCCACAGATGCTGCTAAATTGTCCCAGCATTTTGTTTTAATTTCCTGTTTTGGCTTCTGTATTATACTGGAATTTCATAATAGGGTTTTTGTCTCATCACTTCTAAACCTCAAAGTGTTGAAACAGAACTGACAGATGAGTCTTCTCATCTGATTTTTTTTGCTGACTGCCACTTTACAGTCATAATAGGAACTTGAGGTGACAAACTGAATTCTTATAATTGCTTAGTCTGTATAAGAAAAGATATTTACTAGAAAAAGTAAGCTTTTTGATCTGTATCCTTTCACTCAGGATCTTGGGATTACGCCGGGCTCCAATGGTTGTTGGGAGATATGTGAACTTGCATACCGAGATAAAACCAGTCGCCTCTGAGCAGCTTCTGAGCACCTTCCTCACACAGGGTATGTTTTGGATATATAGTAATCCCAGATAATTACTGCTCTTCATTCCACAATCACATAAATATATTATGCAGGAAGATGCTGTTTTAACATAGCGGTGTACAAACTGGACACACACAATTAGATAATGTTATAGCATGGCAAGGTTTGAATCTGCTACAACTGCTGAATTGTTAAAGTGGAGTGTCTATTTTGATATTAAAAGTACGATTTATGCCTTTCTCCTGAAGCAAAATGTTGTTCGGAAAGAGTGACAGGAGTTAGATTTAAGCTACCCCCTTGGTCTTGTCTCCTCCAAAGGCAGCCAATTTGCAGCTTTTTGTAATCAAATGACATTCAAAACATAGTATAAGACTAAACCTAATTAAACTGGTAATAAAGCATTACAAATGAGGGATTATGAAAGAGGTGCTAATGTAATTCTTTGTTCATATGCTTTTCCATCTGATTGTGATATCTTGCAAAGTATATTTCTGCAGTTGTTTCCATCTATTTTTTAACATCCAAATTTAGTGGAGATATTAGATGAACAAGGCGAAGTACGTGTTGTAGTGGGTCTGTTTTTTTTCCTTCTGGATGCAATTAAAATCATATCTGGATCAAACTACTGTATTCAAACATATAACTACAGGTGCATAAAGAGCTAGAACATTGGAAATCTTTGATTCCTTGTCAGGAAACTACATACCTCTCTAGAGAACTGACTAATTTTAACCGTTACGTAGAGAAAAGCTATGTTTCCTCTCTGAAGTACCAACTCGGACATTTGCAACCGCTGCAAATTTAAAAGCCAATGATAAGACCATAATATGTAGGAGTAGAAGTAGGCCATGTAGCCCATTGAGTCAACTCCATTCAATGAGATAATGGAGATTTGCACTTTTCTGCCATAACCTGATTACTTTTGATTGCTTTACAGATTGAAAATCTATTTCAGACTTGAATATACTTAATTAACCTAGGCAATAACAGCCCTCTGAATTAAATAATTCCACAGATTCACCACCTTCTGAGAAAAAAAAACAAATCCCTTACTCATGAGATTATGCCCTGTTGTCCTAGATTATACCATAAGGTGAAACAGCCTCTCTGCATCTACCCTAAGAATCTTGCAATAAACTGGTCTCTCATTCTTTGAAACTCCAATGAGTACAAGCCCAATCTACTCAACCTCTCCTAGTAAGAAAATTATAACATACCTGGAATCAAGCAAGCAAAACTTCTCTGGATTGTCTCCAATGCCAGTATCTTTCCTTGGATCAGGAGACCAAAATTGTTCATTGAATTCCATTGACTAGTGCCTTTTTTGGTTTTAGCAATACTTCTCTCTTTTTATACTCTTTTTCATTTGAAATAAAGGCCTGCACTCCAATTGCCTTCCCTATGACACACTGAACTTGGGTGCTAGCTTTTAGGGATTTATGCACAAGGGCCCCCAAATTGTATAACCTAATTTTCCCATATTATATTCCATCTGCCAGGTTTTTGCGAACTCTCATATGCTTGTCTATATCCTTCTGCAAACTCTTCCTAACATCCCACTAGGTGCCTTCCCTCTTATTTAGTGTCATTTGCAAACTTGGCGATAATGCTTCACTTCCCTCATCCGAGTCACTAACATATAATGTAATTTAATTATGGCCCCAGAACTGATTCCTGTGGCACTCCACTAGATAGAGGTTTTGATTCTGAAAATTCCTTTTTATCCCAACTCTGTTTTCTGTTTGTTTGCCAACCTTCTCTTCGTGTTCATATATTTCCTGCAACACCATAGGCTCTTATTAAGTAGACTTATGTGTAGTACTTTACTGAATGCCCTTTGGAAATCCAAATATATCTGTTGGTTTCCCCTTTATTTATCCTGCTTGTTATCTTCTTTAAAAGCCTTTTTAAAAAAATTGTTAGGCATGATTTCTTCTTCATGAAATCATGCTGACTCTGTTTGATTATACTGTACTCTAAATGTTCTATGACTACATCATTTAAATAGACTCTAACGTTTTCCAAAGCTAGCTATTAAGTTAAATGGCTTATAGTTAGCTCTATTTTGTTTTCTTGCCTTTTTGAATTAGGATGTTACATGGGCAGTCCTCAGTCCTCTGGCACTTTACAGCATCTAAGGATTATTGGAAATTTACTACTGTCCTATTTTTTAGCTAATTTTGTATCCATGTTGCTGCTGACCTTCCTACAGCATGAGCTCTAATTTTTTTTATAGCACCTTTGGAAGCCCATTTACACCACATCAACAGCATTACCCTCACATTACTTCTTCAAAAACTTCCAGTAAGATAGTCAGATATGATTTACTCTTAACTCCATGGTGGCTCTTCGTATTTTTAATGTGACTATTCTGTCCTGAATAATACTTCCAGTGGTTTCCCCACAACCAAAGTTAAATCAACAGTAAGATGGGCTAAATAGGATGCCAAAACAGACCCTGAGCGTCCAGTTGCCTTCCACTTTAACACACTACCCTGTTCCCTGGCTAACATTTCTGTCTGAGGCTTGCTGCAGTGTTCCAGTGAAGCTCAGCACAAGTTGGAAGAACAACACCTCATTTTCATTTGGGGACCCTGTAGCCCTCTTGACTCATTATCGAGTTCAATAATTTTAGGGCCTCAACTCTCCCATGTCCATGGCCCCTACACCACACACCGGGCCTTCTTATCACACAGTCTGCCATTACACACTACCTGTTGTTAGTCACCAACAGTCCTAATTAATTCACCTAGCCAGATTGTTATCAATTCCTTGGTCTGTTCAACTGTTCTTCTTCCTCTTTGGGATCTATCTCCAACTATCATTTACTCTTTACCCCACCCCCCACCCTATCTTCCGCATATGAACTGACATGTTCCTGGCTACCATCAGTTCTGAGGAAGGGTCCTGGACCCGAAATGTTAACTGTGATTTTACTTCACAGATGCTGCTAGACTTGCTCAGCTTTTACAGCAACTTCTGTTTTTGTTTCTGATTTACAGCTCCGCAGTTCTTTCAGTTTTTATTTAGCATTTAACCTACTGCCACATCTCTTCTAGGCATGCCCACCTTGAAGAGGTTCTACTCCTCTCTCCAGGATTTCCGTTCCAATCTTTCTTCTTGTCCACCGACAATAATTTCACTGTCACTCCTGGTGTCTGACCAAGGATTTGCTAAAACTCATTTCCACAGCCATATCACATTCCTCAGTGACTGCCTCTGCCTCAGACTCGCCCCACGTGGATTCCAACTGAAGTTTCATCCCTCGTGCTTTGAATCCACCCAGAATCACAGGTATCTCCATGATGTTCAGCGTTCCACAGACAGCTGCTCTCGCTGCATCCTGAGATTGACACTCAGTGCCGTGCGGTGTCACATGCACATGCTCGACCTCTCCCTCCAACAGCATCACATCATGCTGGCTCAGGATTGCACCACTCCGTAGTTCCACTTCATCTTCTGGCTAATTTGCCGGGCTAACCAGAAGCTTTCTCTTTTCCTTTCGGGCATCAAGGCCCATAAGATGCAGTAACTCAGAGATATCCATGGCTATCTGGAACCTTCTCCCCTCCCCTTCCTCTGACTCTATCCCCCTACCCCAACCCCACCTCCTGTCAGGCATTCACCATCCCACCTAACCTTCTACTCTTCGATGCTAAATGTTCTGTACTCAGTAAAGGTCTCAGCTTTATCCTTCTGCGTCCCCACCTTAATGAATTTTGGACATGTGACATTGAACTCTTTTTCTTCCGTCTTCGCCTTTGTGCTCATTTCTTTGGACAAGAGTCCTCTCCCCGTCCCACAGACCCGTTCGTCCAGTTCCAACATGCCCCCTCCACCTGGACTCCTCCCTCTGGCCTTTTACCTGCACTCGATCTGTCTCGCACTGAGAACTGTCACCATGATATTGGTCACCTCAATTTCTCTGCACACCTCCTACTGCCCCCCTCCACAACCCAATCCAACCCATCTCCCTCTGAACTGACTGCACTCCTTGCACTTGGATCCAATCCTGACTGCTGTAGTCTGGTGTACTGACCTCCTACATTGCACAGGCTGAGCGCCAGCTCTCCAATACCACCACCTATCTTCCCCTGGACCATGACCCCAACATGGCACGTCAGGCCATTGTATCAAATATGGTAACTGACCTCATTTCATCTGCTGATCTCAACCCCCACCCCAAGCTGATAGACCCCAGCCCCACATAGCTCGCTTCTACCTTCTTCCAAAAATCCAAACAGGACTGCCCAGGCAGACCCATTGTTTCAGCCTGCTCCTGCCCCACAGAACCCATCTCTTCCTACCTTGACTTAGTCTTTTCTCCCCGGTGCAGTTCCTGCTCACATACATCCGTGATTCCTCTGGCGCTTTATGCCAGTTTCAGAATTTCCAGTTTGCAGGCTCCAGCCGCCGCCTCATTTCTATGGACGTGTGATCTCTTTCCATGTCCACCCCACACCGGGATGGGCTCAGGGCTCTCCGCTTTGCTCTCTGGAGCAAAAGCCAAAACGTCCTCATTCACCACAACCCTCCTCAGCTTGGCTAAGCTCGTCCGCACCCTCAACAACTTTTCTTTTAACTCTTCTTGTTTTCTTCAGGTCAGTGGGTAGCATGGGCCCCAATTATGCCTGTCTCTGTTCCAGTCCTATTCTGGCCCCCATCTATAACTCTTTATCTGATATATTGATGATATCATTAGTCCTGCTTCCCTCTCTTGTCCGGAATTGGAAAAGTTGATCGATTTCACTTTCAGTTTCCACCCTGCCCTCACTTTCTCCTGGTCTATCTCTGACTTATCCCCTCCCTTACTTGACATCTCTGTTTCCAATTCTGGGGTTAGACTGGCCACTAATATCCATTATAAAGCCACCGCGCCCACAGATACACGGAGACAATGAGGGCTGCAGATGCTGGAGGCCAGAGTCTATAGGGTGTGAGGCTGGAAAAGCACAGCAGGTCAGACAGCATCCGAGGAGCAGGAAAGTCAACGTTTTGGGCCCTAATGGAGGGTTTTGGCCCGAAGCATTGACTTTACTGCTGCTCGGATGCTGTCTGATCTGCTGTGCTTTTCCAGCCTCACACCTACAGACTCCATACATCCTCACACCCTGCTTCCTGTAAAGACTCCATTCCATTCTCTCAGTTCTTCTATCTCTGTCGCATGTGTTCCGCTGAGGCCAACTTCAACGAAAGAGCCTCCGAAATGTCCACCACCTTCCTCAACCAAGGATTCCTCAGCACCGTTGTCAACAGGGCCCTCAGCTGGGTCTGACTCATCTCCCATACTTCCCACCTCACCCCCTCTCGTCCCTCCTGCAACAGCGATAGGGTTCCCTCTGTCTTTACCTACCATCCCACCAGCATCCAAATCTAGAAGATCTTTACCTGCACTTCCCACAATCTAGTCTACTGCATTTGCTGTTCACAGTGTGATCTCCTCTACATTGGGGAAACAAAGCATAGACTGGGTGACCGCTTCACAGAACATCTACGTTCTGCTTGCAAAAAAAGACGCTGAGCTTCCAGTTGCCTGCTACATTAACACACCACCCGTTCCCTGGCCAAATCTAAGTCTCAGATTTGCTGCAGTGTTCTAGCAAAGCTCGGTGCACATTGGAAGAACAACACTTCATTTCTCCGCATGGGGACCCTGCAGCTCAACGGACTCAATATCGAGTTTAATAATTTTGGGGCCTGAACTCTCCCATGTCTTAGCCCCCTACAGCACACACCAGGCCTTCTTATCACACAGTCTGCCATTACACACTACCTATTGTTAGTCACCAACAGTCCTCATTACCAGCTATTCACCCTCCAAGCCAGATCGCTATTAACTCCTTTGTCTGTTCAACTGTTCTTCTCCCTCTTTGGGCTCTATCCTTCACTCCTAACCCCATCTCCCCCACCTTATCTTCTGCATATAAACTGACATTTTCCTAGCTACCATCAATTCTGAGGAAGGGTCACTGAGCCTGAAACATTAACTCTGATTTTTCTTTACAGATGCTGCCAGACCTGAGCTTTTCCAGTAACTTCTGTTTCTCTTATTAATTTAGGCTTACTGTTACAAACGTTTTTGCACAGAGTGTAATATTTGCTATTCTGCAGTCGTCGACCATTACCTCTGAATCTAGGGAATATTGAAAACTTATTGCCAGCCTCTGCAATTTCCCCTCTTTCTTACTTCTAAATCCTTGGATGCATCCCATCTGGTCCCAGTGTTTTATCAACTATAAATATCAACAACTTATCCAGTACCAACACCTTATCAATTTTGGATTGGAGTTTCCTATTCTGACACCACGGCCTAGGCAGCATTTGCCACACAGGTAAATGCGGATATAAAGTATTGATTTAATACCTCAGTCATGCCTGCACGTGTTAATCCCCTTTTTTGTTTCCTATTTTGTCTGACTTCTTTCATCACACTTTTACTGTTGATGTGCTTATGAAGACTTTGGGATTTCCAATTATGTTAGATATTTCTCATAATCCCTCTTTGGTTATCTTTTTCACCTCACTTCTGAACCTTATGCATTCAACTTGGTTCACAGTTATATTTACTACCTATGCCAGTCATAGGCACACATTTTATTCTTTAGCTTCTTCTCTATCTCGTTTGTCATCCAGGGAGTTCTGGATTTGTTTGTCCTTCTCTTTGAAGGTAACCCATTATTCAGTTAGTTTTTCCGCCAACCTTTTGGTTCCAGTCTGTCTGGCCCAGGTCTATGCTTACCCATGTTGAAATCAGCCCTTTGTCAACTGAATATTCTTACTCTGGATTTACTGTTGTTATTTTCCATCATAGTTCTACACCTTATGATATAATCATCACTAACCCCTATATGTTTCCCCACTGACAGTTAATGTACTTGATATACCTTGTTCCCAAAAGCCAGGTCTAGCAGTGCCTTCCTTCTTTTTGGACCAAACATACAATCTGTAGGAAATTCTTCTGACAGTCTACAAACACTTGCCCTTCTCCATCATTAACACTACCAGTATCCCACTGTATCTTGGGTAATTAAAGTCCCCCATTATAACTACTATATGATATTTACACATCCCTGTAATTTTCTTGCACATTGGATCCTCTAATTTCCACTAGTTGACAATTTATAGGTTACACCATGCAATTTAATTGCATCATTTTTATTCTTTAGCTCTAATCAAATGATTGTGAACTTTCTAGAATGCCCTCTTTGTCTAGTAATGCTCTCCCTAGATTATACCATTACCTCTGCCTGAATTGTGGTGTGACCCCATTTCTGAATGTGCTACTCATGGTCCTCTGACTCATGGATGTGCCACAGCGATTTCAGGCGTGCTTAAGCTCCAAAACATGGAGCTCAAGCTTGTGAAGCTTTTCACACTTGCTGCACATGGGTCTGTGTTGGTCCCGCGACATGTTCACAGCTCCCCACATGCTGAAGAATGGGCATTCTGGGCAGCAGAGGCACAAAAAACCTGAAGGTGTGATTCCCTGAAGAAGGTGCCTAAGAGCCTATTTGCTTATTGAGGTCAAGAGCATAACATTATGTGAGAAAAGGCACTCTGAGCTGTGGGGGAACCCAAGCGGTATAACTTTCAGTTAAAAGGTTTTTGTGACTGAAAATGGAATAATTCCATCGAGGGGTGGGGGGGGAAGTGGGGCCTGGAGTAAGTTGCTTAAATCACTGATTTAAGACAGGACTGAGTAATGTAGTTTTCGCCCAAAGGGTCTTTGACTTTGGAATTCTCTTCCCCAGACAGCAGTGGAGGCTATATTCAAAGCTGAATGAGTGATTATTTGTCCATAGGGTAGTGAAGGGATTTTTGGTGCTGGTGGTGTGGGCAAGGCTATGATTTTGCTGAACGATGAAACATGTTTGAACAGACTACACTTGCTCTGTTTCTTATGATTTTATTTCACTTTAGAACTACTGTGTGTTAAAATTATATTTTTTTAACTTTCCTGTTTATTACCTTAACAATCAAAAACAAATTCAATTTCGAAACAAAATATTGAATATAGTGGGAATGAGGCAGACCAACTGGCAGAATCCAAATGGCTTTTCTCATGTTCAAGGGCAGAGTTCTCGTTTTTCAATGCAAAAGGTGAATTATATTCATCGACTGAATAAATTAGTGTCTTATGCAATAATAAAACAATCATTTTCTCATCACTTTTGCACAGTTTTAAAAAAAATTGAGACGTCAAAAATACTTAAGTAGTTTGGGAGCAATGAAAGTAATGCAGCAACATTTGCAAGCCAGAAGTTATGCCATTGAGGTTGTGCAATTGTAGCAAGATACACAGTTTGGAATTTGCTGTCAACTTTTTTTTATTTATTTCACTGTATTACTCAATGCAGCTTACCAGTCTGATGCATATGCGTCAATGACTATCATTAACTGAGACAATACATATTCCCTCCACTGATCACTGAAATCCTGTTGACTTCTCTTAATTTTGTGATTTAACATAATCATCTCACCGTGATTAGATCTGAAGAAAATGGTAGCGCATTGAGGAGAAGACTTTTTCATCTTTTGTTCATTTAAATAGTAAAAGAACTTCATTGGTCCTGTGGAATGCTTCAAGTAAAACTGTTCAGTTTCTTGATTTGTCTTACCAAATTGTTTTATTGTTTTTAGGTAACAATAGCTGCTTCTATGGAAAATGTTATTACTGCAGAGAATCAGAACCAGCCTGTGCTGATGGGCACATTATGGAAGGATCTGTGATACTGTGGCTACCTGACATCTGGCCATTACAAAAACATAGACACCCATGGGGCAGAACCTACAGAGAGGGAAAACTAGCCAGGTATTCCCCCAGATATGTCAGCTTTTATTTGTTTAAGAGCAAAAATAATGTGACTGCAAGAAATCTGAAACAAACAGAATGCTGGATAAACTTAGCAGGTCTGTGTTGAGAGAAACAAAGTTAATGTCTCGACTCCAGTATGACTCCTCTTCAGAGCTGAAAGAATTTGCAAAGTTTTTTTTTAATACTTTTGACAGAGGTGGAAGTGGAACAAAGGAGCGGATGGTGTAGAACTATTATTTCTTCTACCAGTACTTGGTCCTCCTTCAAGTCCCCACCTTCCCTACCCCAAATAAATAAGTCCTTACTGATGGTGAAATACACAATAGAATTATAAACAACAACCTTTCATACAGAAAGCCACCAATCTTGTAATGAATCACTGAGGTGATGACAGGTAAAAATGAGATGCTTGGCCACGTGGAGAATTGAAGGATTGAAAAGGAGGGAAAATTAGGCATATATATCACTGATCTTCTCACCTGACTCACATGCTGTGGTAATTTTGGCAAACTCTTGCCTGACTCTGTGTCATCACCCTTGCTAACCTTACTGGTCAAGAAACAAAGTAAATGTTTATTTTTGATGGGTATCCTTCAGGGCTACTACTTCATTCTCACTGACTCCTTTATTAGGTAATGTAGGTAATAACATTACTGTTTGTATTTGTGCTGACACAAGTACTAAGACTCACACAGACCCCCATTAAATTTAAAACTACAACTTAAAGGAAAGCTATTATCTTCCAGATACCAAAGTTTTTAAATTGGAACAGGGAAATGGACATAAGATAGCATAAGTTTCTTTTATCCAGAATAGCTGACACATACTTCTACACATAAAAAGCTATCACCCTAAACACACTTTCCCAAAGCTGGTGGGGTCACAAACAATATGTTTCAATCACATTCATAAAGTTGGAATACTTCAAGCAGGCAGTTACTACCCTATTTACAGCATCTCAGATCTCAATATAGATTTAAAATTAACCATAGATATTCATTATAGCAACATCTACTACTGTTTTCTCCGTAGGGTAGCTTCTGAATATGTGCAGTTTGAAGATAAGATAAATTTACAAGTAATTCATTACCTCAGCGATTTCATGTTTTCCTGACTCCTAGATAGCTGAGTGTTCCTTTGTTGACAGGTTTAAAAATGTTGTTGTTTCTTTTCAGGATCTTTTTTCTTTCCTCTCCCTTTGTAGCCTGTCTCTCTCTCAACCTGCTTGAAGCCTTCTTCTCTCTCCCACCATCCCGAATTTTCCATTTCCATAAGACCAGAAGAAATAGGAATAAGTGTAGGCCTCTAAAGTCTACTCAGCTTTACAATAGGATTACAACTGAAACAACATTCCTCGAGTCCACTTTCCTGTGTTTTCCTCATAACCCTCAATTCCCTGACTCATCAAGAATTTATCACAACCTTAAATATACACAAGGTCTCTGCTACACAGCTTTCTACGGCAAGGAGTTCCAAAGACTTTCACTTCTCTGAGAGAAAACGTTCTTCCTCATCTCCGTCTTATATTGGCATTCCTTTATTCTGAACTATGCCCTCTGTCCTAGACTATCCCATGAGGGGAAACACCCTCATAGTATTTACCCTGTCAAGCCCCTTAAGAATGGTTATATATTTCAATGAGATCACCTCTCAATTTTTCTAAATTCCAGTGAGTACAGTCCAAACCTGTTTAGCCTTTACTTGTAAAACAGTCCCTCCACATCAGGGATCATCCTAGCAAACTTTCTCTGAACTGCCTCCAATGAAACAATATCTTTCTTTAAATAAGGGGACCAAAATTGCTCACAGGACTCCAGAAATGGTCTGACCAGCAGCATATATAGTTGCAGTAAAACTTACCTACTGTTATACTCCAACCCCCTTGAACTAAGGCCAACATTCCATTAGCCTTGCTGATTAGCTGTTACACCTGTGTGCTAACTTTGTTTTTCACAAGTACCCCTTTGTGTTATAACTTTCTGCAATTTTTCTCTATTTCAATAATATTTTGTTTGTTCTCCCTTGCAAAATGAACAACTTTGCATTTTCCCACATTGTACTTTCAATACACTCATTGATCAAAACGTAAAGAAGGTTAGTAGGAACACAGCTGAATGAAGGATTTACTGTGAGCTGAGATCTGAGCAACATTGTATTGAATGATTTAGAGTTTATGTAAGTTAGAATTCAGGAAATCAGCAAAGGATTATATGGTAGAAATAAAGTAGGGACATACTTAGTGTTCGGATGAGGTTGAAATGGAGATGAGCAATGTTGCCAAAATGTTGATGCTGGATTTCATATGGCATTTAAGCCAGAATATGTTTTAAGAAAGCTGCCAAGATTGATTCCTCAACACCTTGTGAACAACTGGCTTGAAAGGAAATTTGAATCAGCAACTGAAATTTGCGGTTTTTGGAAGGTGTCCTTCAAACAAACTCCAGAGGGCTTATTGTACTGCAACTCCTGGGTCAATATATTTTCAAGAGAAAGTGAGAAAAGGGATAAAATTGTTTAAAAGTGTAACAGTACACACATTATATACATCAGCCCACATGTAGAGTTTATTTTTAAATTAACTTCCATTCTGCAAAATGAACTGCACTTAGAGCAATGAATAATATCTTATACTGGGTGATGCTCAGTCAGAATTAATTTTGATTTAATGGTATGTACTGTAAGTTGTTTTAAAGTAGTTGAATATTAATCTCAATGTTTTTTTTCTAGGTGGGAATATGATGAGAGTTATTGTGATGCAGTAAAGAAGACCCCTCCCTATGATTCTGGCCCTCGTCTTCTGGATATAATAGATACAGCAATTTTTGACTACCTGATCGGTAATGCAGACCGTCATCACTACGAAAGTTTTCAGGATGACGGTGGAGCAAGCATGTTAATTTTGTTGGATAATGCAAAGAGGTATATTGCAGAAACTTCACTGTACACTTCTACTTAATGGTCTAATTAGTAGAATAGCATCACAGGTGATATCTACTAACAATATATGCTAAGAATAGTTAAATTGGAAGAAACGTTTTTCTCCTTCAAATAAATCAATTGTAACAGGCCTTGTTTCATTTTGGCCTGTTTTCTTGTCAGTAAACAAATTTTAAGAAGGGTATGTTAGGACGGCATAGGTTTGTACAGTTTTAAGCTAACTGAGTTCATGAAGATAGTAATGCAAGAAAAGTTAGTGTCACATTTTTTTTATTATTAGTCTTTTATTGTTTTTGTGGTTTAGATTCTAAACTCTGTTTTCTCCTGGGTATTGGCAATAGCTTGGCTTGTCATGAACTATTGGTGATGGATACAGGCAGCCAATATTGTTTACCTGACCAACTTTGGTATTGTTATTGCAACCTTAAATGGTGGAATTTTATCTGCCTTCACTCCAGTAACCAGTTCTTTTACACTAAAATCAACACACCAACAATGTTCTTGTAAGCTGCTCACCATGTTGATAAGTTCTCATAGAATTTTGCCATGTCATTATGATCGTGATTTCTGTTTCACTGTTACATCATTTTAGTTTATTGGTTTCTCACTTCTGTGTAAGTCATGCAGTTTGTTTAATGGGATGTTTGTAATGCTTGAGAATTACAAATTTGCTAAGATTTTGTACATTATGGATCATAAAAACTGAAACTTTTAATTTATGGTAGTCACCCAAATCTTCAAGTCAGGATACAGCTGTAGCAGTATTTTTAATTGATACGGCTATCAGTATTTTACCATTAATCCAGAAAAAAAATGGATCTCATTATCCAGAATATGCACATGCACTGTTAAGTGCATGATCCAGAATTTGTGGTTTGAGTTACTGACCTCTTGCATAGGCTGCACCATAACAGAATCTCGCTGAAGGACTCTGTACTGAAAAACATTCAATGCATAAAACTGAGCACTTGCCCTGCTTATTATCTACTCCTCGTGCCTGAAAAGGTAAGACTAGTGCATTCAGTAGTAAATGGCCCTAAAAAGTTAATTAAACAAGTGTGAAGTCTCTTCAGAAATTAATGACAATGGAGGTTTGTTTTAAGATTTTAAATGTCTTTTCTCCTGTCTGTTTTTCTTCCTTTGCACGCATTAAACATGACTTATATTTCCTGGTCATCACAGCAAGGGTTCTTCAATCTAGTTGGGGAGTTTTGCTGTTGCATCGTATGTTCACACATTGCGTACGTGTCCGACAGAATGTCCATGCTATATATCATTCTGATTGGAGCAATTATGTTCTCAAAAGCCCACTGGCCAGCTGTTTGCATGAAAACATCATCACATCTTTTCTTTACTACTGCATACTTAATTCTAGTTCAAATTAATTGGATGTGAAAGTCTTGACTCTTTTGTGTTAAGTAAGCTGCCAGGGGAAACTAATATAAATAGTATCAACGTAATTTCCACTAGAAATTCAGAAGTTCAGTTATGGGGATATGGTAATGTAGAAGTGATGTCACTGAATTTACAATCCAGAGTCAAGACTAATGCTTTGGGAAAATGGATTCAAATCCTGCCATGATAACTGTGAAGTTTAAAATCACCTATTAACTTGGAATTGAAATCTAGCCACAGTAATGGTGACCATAAATTTATTATTGATTGTCAAGGAAATCCATCTCATTCAATAATACCCTTTAGGGAAAGAAATGTGCCAAGCTTACCTGTACTGCCTTCAGACCATAGCAATGTGGTTAACTCTTAAGCATCCTCAATAATGGTCTCGCAAGGCATTCAGTTCAAAGGCAATTAAGAGTAGGCATCAATAAGCATTTGTCATGAAGGAAGGAAAAAAAATCTAGCGTTCCTCAAGGAAATTAGAGGATTGTTGTCACAGGAAAATGGAAATATCACCACTGCTTGAGATGTAAAATGAGGCATGGTGCTAATGTAATCTACAGAGAGACTTACATAGCAAAATAAGTGTTTCATACTTGACATTTGAGAATTTTGATGCTTTGTATAAAATTTGAAAGTTCAATTGCCTGGCATTAATATCTGGGATAAGGAACACTTCGGCAAAAAGATTTTAAAATCATTACTGTCTTCTGTTTTGTTTCTAGTTTTGGGAATCCAAGTTTAGATGAAAGAAGTATCCTCGCAGCTGTTTATCAATGTTGCATGTAAGTGCCTAGCAGTACATAAAGCTGCAAAAAAAATTATTCCATCGGCTTAAATTATTCTGTTGTGTAATCATCCAAGCTAAAGTCAATTTTAAAAGATGAAAATAGGTGTCCGGTTGAAGTGCAAAAATCCTGTTGCATTGGTGGTAATCTCTCATTCTTATAAACAAATGTCCAAACAACATGATATATGGATACTTGTGAAGGTATGTTAACAGTGTACTTGTGCTAAATCCTTTTAAGCCTATGTTTTTTATTTGTTTTGTGGTGTTTTGAACCCATGGTGGTATGTGGATTTGTGACTCCAATCCTTTATACAGTAATATAAAATTGTCTAACAAGGAAAGCACTGTCATTCCAGGGCATATGAATGACAGAATATCAATAATGTAATGCTCCTGATGCACATTTTTTTCCTTGAAAGCTGTTTTGTAGCTTGTGTCCTTCTGTGGAATAGGTTAACAGAGTGTGAGTGATGGTTATGGCTGCGTCAGATTGTCCTGGATTAGAACTGAGATGAGGGAGAGACATTCTTTTAGCAGCTTAAATGACTCTTGCAATTTTGGTTTAAAAAAATTAGATGGACGCTTTTATTACAAAAGAAGCAATAAATTGTTGCTTCTTAAGTAAACTGATATAATCTTTATGATTTAGGTTAAGAAAACCCTTTACAAATTAATGTTGAATATCACTTCGAAGAAGCACTGAGGGTGGCAAGAGCAAAGAATAGACTCTGGGTGGGCAATTTCACAGCAGCAACTCAATAAAATGACTACTGTCTGAGTCCTGAAGGACAGACTGGGCCTCTCGCAAGTGATGAGTGAACTAACACATGGGGAAAATCTACTTGGGTCACATTCTTGTCAATATATCTGTCACAGGTATACCATACCATAGTGACCACTGCACAGTCAAGTGGGTATGAAGTCTGGTCTTCACGTGTAGAACACCCTCCATGGTTTTGTGTGGCATTACCACCGTTAAATGGGATGCAGAATGGCTCTAGCAGGTGAAAATGGGATACCTATGAGATATTGTCACCTGTCGGTAGCAGAATTGTTTTCAACCACAATCTGTAACCTCCTGGTCTGGCATATCATTTACCATTGCCATCAAGCCTGGGGGATCAACCCTGGTTAAATAAAGAGTGGAAGATAGCAGCACTGGCATACCTAAAAATAAACCATCTACTTGCTGAAGCTACAGCTGTATGCATGCTAAGCTGCAAATGCAGCATACTCTTGCCAGAGCTAAGCGATCCATAATTAACAGATATAATCAAAGCTTTGCAATGCTGCCACATTCAGTTATGGTTGGCAAGTAAACAATTTATGAAAGGAATTGGTTCCTTGAAAATTCATCTCCTTAATGGTTGTTGAACCCAACAATAATTCAACAGATAAGGCTGAAGCATTTGCAATCACCTTCAGCCAGAACATCATGTGGATGATTCATTTCTGCCTCCTCCTGAGGTCCCCACCAGTGCAGTGTTTGCCATGTACAATACAAGTTTGTCCAACCTCTCCTTATAGCTAATACACTCCAATCCAGACAATATTCTAGTAAACCTCTTTTGCATCCTCTCCAATGTCTCCATATCGTTACTATACTATGGTAGAACTCAGGAATGTGGGTTGTGAGGAGGATGCAAAGAGGTTTCTTGGGAATTTAGACAGGCTGAGTGAGTGGACAAAAGTATGGCTGATGGAAATAATATGGATGAGTGTGTGGTCATCCATTTGGGTAGGAGCAACAAAGGTATTTCTCCAATGGTGAAAAAATTGGTAAGTGTGGATATCCAAAAGGACCTAGATGATGATGATCATCAATTACCGAAAGATGCTTTCAGGAAGCAATTCGGAAGGCAAAACAGTATGTTAGCCTTTGTTGCAGAAAGATTTGAGTACAGAAATAAAATGTCATGCTTCAATTGTATAGAACACTGATGAGACCACACCTGGAATAGTGCATGAAGTTAAGACCATAAGACATAGGAGCAGAAGTTAGGCCATTCAGCCCATCGAGGCTGCTCTGCCATTCAATCATGGCTGATAAATTTCTCATATCCATTCTCCAGCTTTCTCCCCGTAACTCTTGATCCCCTTGACAATCAAGAACCTATCTATCTCCATCTTAAAGGTATTCAGTGACCTGGCCTTCACAGCCTTCTGTGGCAGTGAATTCCATAGATTCGCCACTCCCCGGGTGAAGAAGTTTCTCCTTATCTCTGTTCTGAAAGGTCTTCCCTTTACTCTAAGGCTGTGCCCTTGGGTCTTGGAAACATCTTCCCAACATCCACTCTGTCCAGGCCATTCAGTATTCTGTAAGTTTCAATTAGATCCCCCCTCATCCTTCTAAACTCCATCGAGTATAGACCCAGAGTCCTCAAACGTTCCTCATATGTTAAGCTTTTCATTCCTGGGACCATTCTCGTAAGCCTCCTCTGAACCTGCTCTAGGGCCAGTACATCTTTCCTGAGATATGGGGCCCTTGACTAAGGGAGGACATACTTATTATAGAGGAATGCGTGGAAGTTCACCAGTCTGATTCCTAGGATGGTGGGACTTTGCTATTAGAAGAGATTGAGGAAACTGGCCTGTATTCTCTGCAGTTTAGCAGAATGAGAAGAAATTTATACAATTCTTAAAGGGATAGACAGAGTTGATAGAGAAAGGAAGTTTCCCTGGCTGTGGGGTCTACAATCAGGAGACACTGTCTCAGAATAAAAGATAAGCCATTTAGAATTGAGATGAGGAGAAACTTCTTGATCAGAGGATGGTGAATCTTTGGAATGCTTTACCCAGAGACAGTTGGGAAACTCGGTCAACAAATTAGTATTAGGACAGAAATTTGTGAATTTCTAGTTAGTAATGGCATCTGTCTTATGGGGATAGTACAGGTAGATCATCAACCATGATCTGAAATAACAGAGCAGCCTTGAGGACCTGAATGGCTGGCTCCTAGATTCTTCTGTATATAGGAGGTTAAGATACAAGCTAAGGGCTCAAGGAGTTTGTGTGATAAATGAGCAGATATTGAGAATTGGTTAATAGATCAGCAGAGAGTAGGGATAATTGGGGCATTTTCAAGTTGGCAGGCTGTGACGAGAGGAGTGCTGCAGAGATGAAGGCTGGTGCTTCAGCTATTTATAATCTTGATTAATCAAGAGACAAAGTCATGTATCTTAAGTTTTCTGATGGTACAAAGCTAGATGAAAATGCAAGTTGTTAGGAAAACACAAAGAGTCTGCAAAGGGATAGTAAAAGGTTAATCAAGTGTACAGCAAAATTGTAGATGAAAAGTAATATAGTGATGTGTGAAATTATTTATTTTGATTGTAAGAACATATAAAAATAGAAAATTTTAAAAACCTTGTTACAACTGAGATTTATGATGTTTTGGGACTGTCAATTCAGGGTTATTTGAAGGGGATCATGTGACCTTTTCTGAAGTCTGCCTGACAACCCATTAAAGGAAGGCCAAATTGATTTTACAATAAGTTCTCAGAAGTTGTGCCTACATTCCTGAAAATTACAACTTGAAATAAAACAACTTTAAATGAACCATAGGTTCTCGTAGAAATCAATGTTAAAATCAGAGTTGGGTTCTTATAAATTTTTTTGCCTGGAATAAGATAAAGTTAAAATACAATACAATGCATGTACAGCACTGTGGATTCCTAGTTGAAATAACCTGAAAACTGAAATACATCATGAAATAATAAAAAATGAATACATGACGACAGTACTGAATAACCCCTGTCCAGTACTTGAAAAGATGTTTTTAAAACATTCATTATTTAGATTGATGAGGATCCATCTAGTGGCAGAGTTTAGTCAGTGCCAGTGGTTAGGGGGAGAAAAATGAAGAATGCAACAGTTTCTTAAGTTACTGAATTGAATATTGCAGCAGGCCCAGGTCAGAAATGTTAGCTTGAGAGCGAGGTGGCTTATTGGGAGGTCAAGGTTGTTTATGTGGACAGAGCCAAATTGTTCCCCAAAGCAGTCACCAGCCTGCGTTTGGTATTGCCAAAGTAGATTCCGTTGTTAACAGCAAATGCAGTGGCCTAGATTGAAAGATGTACCAGTCAAACACTGCTTCACTTGGAAAGTGTGTGTGGGGCCTTGGGCATGTGAGGAAGTGAATTGGCAAGTGTTATACCTTTTGCAATTATATGAGAAGGTGCCATGGGGAGTGATGGAGGAAGGGCTGGAAATCATGGGGAATGGTCTGTTGAATGCTGACAGTGGAGAGTAAGAGAAAATTTGTTTGGTGCTGGCATCATGCTAAATGTAGCAGAAATGGCAAAGGATGATCCTTTGAATGTGAAGACTAGTGAGGTGGGAAGCAAGGACAAGTGGGACACTATTGTTGCTGTGGGAAAGAAGGGGTGAGGGCAGACGTGTGGGAGATGGGTCATAAACGCTGAAGACCCTGTAAATCACATTTGGTGGGTTGGGGGAGAGCCTTAGTTGAGGAACAAGTAGGTCATATTGGAAGCAGACCTGTTAAAGGTGGTATCCTCAGAACAGCTGCAATGGAGAAACTGGGAGAATTGCATGGAATCCTTGAAGGAAGTAAGTGTAGGTGAGGTAACTGTGGGAGTCATGGGCTTGTAATAGATATTGGTGGATAACCTCTGCTCAGAAGTGGAAACAATGAAGTCAAGGAAGGAAAAGGAGGAGGAGTTGGAGACGGACCAGCTGAAGGTGAAAGACAGGGAAGAATGAAATTGTAACCAAAACTAATGAAATTGTAACCAAAACTGATGAATTTTTCCAATTCCAGACGAGAGTAGCACCCAAGACGACATCAATGTGTTGGAGAAAGATTTGTGGGTGGGGTCCCCATGGTCTCACCTCCTACTTGGAGAAAATCAGATGATTTAAAGGAGAAGCTGTTCAAAGTGAAAATGAGTTCAGCCAAGTGAAAGAGGGTGGTGGTGGATGGAGATTTTAGAGGTTCCTTTTCAAGGGAGAAGGGGAGAACCTTCTGCCCAT